AATTACATAGAGTATGTCCTCGTTAATTTACTTGGCTAACAGCTGTTTAACCCAGTGGCAGTAAGCTCTAGGGCTGGGGAGAACAAATGTGTCTCAAATACCAAGTCACATGGAACCTGGCACATAGGAAGTATTGTTCAAATAAGTGTATGTAACAGGGATGGGTGGATGGATGGACAGATAGATGGGCGGACAGATGGCACAAAGGAGTGAACAGGTGACCTCACACACCTGGAGCTTCCATCTAAGAGAAGCTGGGTCTTTGGGCTGTTCTACAGGAGGTTCTGAACTCATTCCCTTGAACCCTAAACTGGATTCCCAGTGCCAGCTGCTGCCAAGGGTAGCAGGCCTGATGTCCCAACTGTTAGACTTTCTCTGGGTGCAATTTAGATGTCCCTGATGCCTCATCTCACTGATAGGTTAACCCACTGTGCAAGCGAGTAGCCTAAAAAGCTTCATACTCCTTGGTGACATACGATCCACCTATGATCCAGCTGGGAACGTTTTTGGTCCTTGAACAGAGGGGAAGACGAAGACCCTGGGGCTGAGCTGCAAGCAGCAAATCCCAGAGTAACGTCTGCAATAACTCAGTTAAGGCTGTCCTAGCAAGCCAAGGAAGGAGCCCCTGCTAGCCCTAGCTGTACTTCTGTCACAGGGCTGGGTGGCCAAGTGTGAGAGGTACACAGAGGATGAGAGCCCAGGTGGGGCCTCAAGGGGCAGCCAGTCTAGTACCGAGACAACTGCTGCTGTGGCTGGCGATGGGCCTTAATACTTTTATCTGTGTGAGGAGTTATGGAAGGCTTTTTAAAGGCGGCAGTATCTGAACCACCTTGAGAGGGAGGAGGAATTCCAGGTGAGCAGGAGACAGGGGGAGCGCAGGGAGCAAATTGAGCAAAGCAAGCAAATCGTGAATGGTGCATGGAAGTGATGGTGCAGCGAGACAGGACCAGGCAGGCAGCCGGATTCAGCGACGCGGTGGGGACCAGCAGAGCACAAATCTCACCAGCCGACCAGTGCATCGGCCACGTTCTGATGAACATGGACACTGGCCAAGAAATGTGGGCTTTGAAACTGAGGAACCTTTACGTGTTTCTGCAGAGAGGAGGGCACGGGGGAGCCATCCAGCGGCCTCGATACTCTGGCAGCACAAGGCTGTGCCCCCAGGAGAGGCTGAGCGAGTCCGGGGCAGATGCCACCGCAGAAGCCTCAGAGGAGCTGCACAGGCCCGTGGGGATGAGGAGTCCGCGGCGACTTGCACGTGTAGGTTTGGGGCGAATCATGTCGGGAAGAGACAAGGCCCAGACTTCAGGTGCTGGGGTGAGGTCCTAGTGGAGACACCCAGAGTCCCTGCTGGGGTGGCCAGGATGCTCAAACCAGTGAGATCGGCCGTACAGGGAAGCGGCAGAGCACCCGAAGAAAAGGGGAGAGGCGAATGCCCAGGAAGCCAGCCTTCGGGCCAGGGGCCATCTCCTTTCCCAGTCCCAGTCCCAGTTTCTCGGCCTCAACTGAAGGAGCCTCCTCCCGGGCCCAGGGTGTCCCCTCCCTCCGGGGGTGGACACTGCAGGGGGAGGGGAGGGAGAGATGCCCGCAGAGGAGCCCGCAGAGCCCGATTGCTCTAGCACACGCGGACGCGAGAGAAAGGGCCGGAAGGGATGGTGGAGACGGAGGAGGGCGTCCCTGGGCGCGCTGAGCTGGGTTCCCGGTCCGCAGAAGGCAGGGTGGGGTGGGCGGCCGGCACACGAAGACAAGAGTGAAAACAAACCCCCAAATTGTTTTTCATTCTGAGTTAGGATGGAGGGAATGGACAAATGTTTTCAACGCGAGGAATGCTTCCTTTATTTTCTCCAGCGTTTACAAACGCGTCTCCCGGAAGGGCCACACTTGCTTGTCAGTAATTTACACCTCGGTAAGAATAATTTCCCAGCCCATTGCTGACAGTGGGTCTGCGGCGCAGGCTGGAAGCGCGAACCTGAGCAGGGCCGGGGGAGGAGCTGCGAACGGCAGAACGGCAGCGCTCGCTGCGCAGTTAGGGCAGCTAAAGAGGGACCCTTCCTCGGAGGTCGCTGGGACCCCCACCTCTGCCTGCAGAGGGACATGTGGCGCCCGGGCCGAGCAGGAGCTGCACCTTGCAGGGCTCAGCGACCAGAGCGCCCGCAGTGCCCTCACGGGGGGGGGGTGTCTTAAAAGGGCAACGTCAGAGGCAGCGACCCATCCAGGGCCTGCTGCAGTCGCGGCTGCAAGGATGCCCCCCCCCCACACACACTACCGGGAGTTGTTAGGGAACCCCATGCTGGCAGGTGACGGGAACAGGGGCAGGCCCCTCATCCTAGCACAGGCTCGGACTTGCACTACATTTCTCTGGGGCCTGGCCCGCTCTGCCTGTCAGACGCATCCTGGGAGAGCAGCCAGGCCTATGCCAGGCCCCCGTGGGAGGTGTGGGGGCTGGGGAAGAGGTGTTCCCAGGACCCAGGGTAAACCGGAAGGGCTTCAGGGAGAAAAAGCAGGCCAAGTAGGGAGAGCCAGTAGAGGTTCAGTCTAGGAGCGTTCAGCTGAACAGCTCTCTGAACTCACGGAGGCGTGAGCCTCACTCTGGGTCCCCATAGTTGGCAGACTTTGTCTCTTGGAGCTCAGCTTCGAGCTAACTCTTGGTAGCAGAGGCCAGCCTCCGGGTCCCTAGCTTCTTCTTTCGCCTGTAGCGACTGGAGACTGCATCTTGGACCCTGAATTCCTGGGTGTGGGAACCTAGGGTTTGTGAGGGACCCAGGGCTCTGACTCACTGTCGGGCCTTTGGGGGTTGTTTGCTGAGGTAACCTCGGTAGCTGAGGTTGGGGATTGGGCAGGTGAAGCTGCCAGAGATGAGGGCATCGGCCCAGGGTGGTGCAGGCAAACCCTTGGGTCGGCTGCCAGCCGCTGGCTTCCAGGTGGGTTAGCCCATCTGAAACAAGGTTTGCATCAGCCCCAGCCGCTGCCTGTGGGAGGAGGAAGGTGCACCACACCTTTCCCAGTAGACGGAGTTCTTTGAAAGCAGGGACTGTAGCCCATTCTTTCCTGGGTTGTAAATTGTGCTCCCAGTGGTGCCTGGCACAGGGTCAACACTCAATTAATGAGTGCATGCCCACCTACCAATGGGGAGTTTTTCTTTTCTTTTGCGGTACCAGGGATTGAATCCACAGGTGTGGCTCCCAAGCTACAGACCCAGCCTTTATTTTTTGAGACAGGGGCTCGCTAAGTCACCCAGGCTGGCCTCCAACTTCTGACCCTCCTGAGTAGCTGGGATCATAAGCATGTGCCACCTTGCCCAGCCCACCTGCAAGGAGCCTCAGCCATGTCACTGTGGCATCCCTCTGGTTTCAGGGAGCAGGGTGTGTACGTCGTGCCAACAAACAAACCCTAGCCAGGCAGGGGTTCACATAGGAGTGGCACAGGGCAGACGGGCACAGCTGACACAGGAGCATAGAGGCGCAATGGGAGGCGGCCATGGTATAAAGATGTAGATGGCTCAGTAGAATAAGCACTTGCCTGGCAAGCACAAGGGCCTGAGTTCAATCCCTGGTTCAAAAAAAAAAAAAAAGATGTAGCACCCAGGCTCCAAAGGCAGCCAACTGCAGTGAATTACCTACCAGGTGAGGCTGGCCAGCTGGGGGGGGAGGGGAAGAGCCAGGTCCAGGTACCCAAGGAACTGAGCCCCCAGCTTCTGGCCCCCAAGACCTCTCCAGGGCCTGCAGAAAGGCAAGGCTTCCTGCTATAGGAAGGTCACAAGCACAAGGCGCCAAAGAGCTGAGGAGTTGCGGACAAGCTGCGGAGACCTCAAGGCCAGGGCGAACAGAGAAGACTCTTGCCAGTCTCCAGTGGCCTCCACCAGTGGAGGGGGGTGGCGCAAAACCAGCCTCCTGCGCTCTGTAAGCCAGTTTTCTTCAAACAGCTGAAACTCTAGGAACGTGAACTTGTCCTTCTGAATTACAAGCTGGAACTGCTTGCTCTTCAGCCCACTTACTCTGGCTTTGTTATCTGAGAGCTGAGTGCTAGAGGCTGCTTGTGGGTCCCCAGTTGGCACCACAGGGAAGGCAAGAGCCACCATGGGTCACCCTGCTGGTTTCCCCAGTTTTGATTGGGTAACTGAGTGCAAAATGAGTAGGATCCGCTCCCAGCAGAAAACTGGCCTCTTTCGTTAGTACCAGCTCTAGCAGGTCTAGGGAAGTCCTTACTGAGGAACTAAGGAAGCTGAGGTGAGCTGCTAGCCTCTAACGACAAACACAAAGCAGCACTGGGGAGCCAGGACTTCAACCTGGCCACTGTCCCATCTCCCCTCTTTCTGCATTCCATAATGGAACAGGTCTAATCAGGTCCCCACCCTACCTTCAGGGATCATTGAAAAGATAAAAGGGATTGCCCGGAGGAAGTATGTTACCCTGCCAGGAGAGAAGCCTTAGACTAACAGAAGCTGTCATTAGAGTCGAAGGGTGCACACTCAGATGAAAGGCAGCAAGCCAAGGAGGAGACCAGGCAGCATCCTCCCAGGGAACAGGACATGGTCACTGGGGCAACAGCGGCGCTCCCGGGAAGGACTGAATGCTGCCTGCGCCCTTCTGCCCTGCCAGTTACCTGGAGCTCTTGGAGCTGCAGCAAGGGGCGATCACGTGCCAGGTGTCAGGCACCGACCCTGGTCTTGAAGCTTTGGGCTCTACTGGATTGAGACAAGTCCCACCTACTGTAAGGCCTTGCAGTGGCCCACCCCCTCACGGAGCCTTTCCTGGGGAACACAGCCAGGAAGCCTTAGCGTTCTGCTGTTCTCCAAGCTATGCCCACCTCTTTCAGGCAGGAGAGAATTCAAGGGGGATCTAGTCCTGCCAGCTTGTCTAAGGCTCCAAGTTTCACTTGCCCTGTGTTACGACTCACGTACCCTGGCCGCACCCACTGGCCGAGAGGCTCTGACTTGCTTAGAGCCTTAGCTGGGACACAGGGCAGGAGTGTGGCCCCAAGAGCAGTGTCAGAGGCAGGTGTGAGCCTCAAGGACACGACAAGAGTGTGGAGCCCTCCCCAGATGCTTTATTACACGGTTTCATCAGTCATCATGGTGGACCCCATGCCCATGCGAGGAGACAGGGACATGTGCCGTGCCCAGCGGACGGTTCCTGCGAGCGATGCAGTCAGATGGGCAGGGTGATGGGTCAGTGCGTGGCCAGCCTGCTCTGGACGGCCTCCGAGTCCCCGCAGACAGAAACGAAGCCCAGCAGACTGCAAGGAAGGAGAGTTCAGGCCTCGGTGACCTCCATGCTCTGCAGCTGGCTTTCCAAGGTGACATCCCTTGCTGCCGCTTTCTTCTTGCTGCCCTCGTGCTGCTTCTTCTGCTTCTTTGATGGCTCCTGGTCAATGGGTGCCGGCTTCACAAAGGGGATCAGCTCTTGGAGCCCTGGGAGGAAGAGCCAGCCAAGTGACCTGTCATTTCTCAGACACTCAAAGCCCAAGGACCTCAGGGGAGAAGTTAAGACAATGGCCCCTTTGAACAAAGGGCCACCCATACTAGGAACTGGTTTGGGCCCATCTTTCCTCCTGAGTCTGAGGCCTCGCAGAATGACGGTATCACCCCTGCACTGGTTTCTTTCTCACCAGGCCCAGCAAGGCCCAGGACCCGAGAACAGGCAGAGTTACTCGAACAGGGTTCTCATGCGCCCGGGCTGACAGAAGAAACATACCTTCTGAAAGGGGCCTGTTACAGAAGCACGAAAACAGCAGAAGCAGAGCTGGGAGTGGTACCTGGAGGCATGAACTCCTTCAGTTTCTCAGGCACGAGGATGCCCTTCTCTGTCTGATAGTTCTCCAAGATGGCACAGATGGTCCGGGTAGTGGCACACATCGTAGCATTGAGCATGTGGACAAATTCCACCTGGGAAGAGAAGATACCAGAGGGAAGTTAAAAGTCAGCCCTCTGCTGATCCGATGACTGGGAACCATCCACTTTATAAAATCTCCCAACTATAAATATCCGTATCAAAATGACTACCTTTTTTAAGACAGGATCTCATTATGCAAATCAGGCTGGCCTTGACCTGGTAGTGATCCTCCTGCCTCAGCCTCCCAAGTGCTGGGATTATAGGTGAGCACCAGCACACTGCCAATTTTTTTTTTGCGGAACCGGGTATTGAACTCAGGCCCTATGCTTACCAGGCAAGCGCTTATTCTACTGAGCCATCTCCTCCGCCCAATTTTTTTTTTAAATTTATGTGTGTGTGTGTGTGTGTGTGTGTGTGTGGCCAGCTCAGCCCACCAGGGGGCGGGGCTGGCTGGCATGTGGTGCTGGGGGATTGAACTGCGGTTCCTGTGCTTTGCCAAGCTTGTTCTAAGTAGGTGCTTTAGACCACTGAGCCATCTCACCAGCCCAGGCCCGATTTTTTTTTTTTAAATTTTATTTATTTATGTATGTATGTATGTGTGTGTGTGGCCGGCTCAGCCCACCAGGGGCGGGCTGGCTAGCATGTGGTGCTGGGGGATTGAACCGCGGTCCCTGTGCTTTGCTGAGCTTGTTCTAAGTAGGTGCTTTAGACCACTGAGCCATCTCACCAGCCCCAGGCCCGATTTTTTTTAAACCTGAATTCTCTTTAGGCTAATTGGTTAATCCAGATGGATTCCACATGTCGGCCTGAGTGAAATATGGTAAGTCCTGCTATTCCAGGAGAGCTTGCATGAAGGAAGAAAATACCCCTGCGGTCACTGCTCTTAACCGTGACAAGCGAAACTCAGATCAGGGCTTGAAGTCTGGGCCCGAAAGATGAGTGTAAGCCTGACCTCCTTGGGCGAAAACAGGGAAGACCCTGCCACCAAGTTGCTCTGTGTAAACAGAAACCATTTTTTTCTCTGGAGTTAAGGTAAACAAAGTCAAGAAGAAAAGCTAGAGTCACCTTGTAGAATAGGGCCAGCTCAGGCTCTAAGAGAGCCCAGTCCAATGCAGAAGTCATCTCTAGATTTTCTCAAGATGCTGAGGACTCCTGTGCCCCCAGGGCCAAGAAAGAGCCCAGGACAGGACAGGCGTGTGCTGTGACAAAGGCCCCACACCCACCTCAGCAGGGGCCATCTACCTTGTCCATCATCTTCTTGGTCTGTCCATATCGGATACGGAGGCGGCGAGCCTGGTAATCTGTACAGTTGGAACAGGAGACTAACTCCCGGAAAGCTCCTGAGCCTGGAAACCAGGCCTCCAGGTCGAGCTTCTTACTGGCAGCATGATTCAAAGAACCTGAAAAGAAAACCCCAGGACTCAGGAAGGAGGGCAACAGCCCCGAAAGCCAACCTCCCACAAACCACAGAACTCTTCACATCCTGTCCCAGCAGTGGGTGGTGTTTGCTCTTCTCATCACCCAGTAGCCTGGTGGCAAGGGTGGGGCAGGTCCAGGAGCTGGGCCGTGAGCTGGCTCTCGAGTTCTGTGTGGTGGCGCAGCTGCTGAAGGCAGGGTCTGTAGAGGCAGGAAGGGGTGCCAAGGGATGCCCTACCCGAGACGATATTCACGATGTGGTACGGGATCCCCAGAGCCTGGTAGAACTCCTCTGCGGTGGCGATCATCTCCTCAAACATCTCCCATGACTTGTTGTCGTGAGGCGACGCATACACAAACTGCTCGATCTGCAGACGAGGGCCCAAGGAGACAGGGACAGTGGTGCAGTGAACAAATCGCAGAGCTGAGGTAGAGACAGCCTGGCCAGGAAGACCTGTCTCTAGGCCCCAGCAAGAGGGATTTGTGTGCCAAGAGACTGGCCTGCAATAATGAGGCCACCAGCCTGACAGCACCACCATGGACTCTGTCCTCGCCAGCAATTGTACGAAGTGATTTACACAGCAGACTGCCTTAGTCCACTCAGTTGGCCTAGTGAGGGCGAGACCACTGCTCTCTGTTTATAGAGGTAGGAAGAGAACAGAAGAGGTTAAGCAGCTTGCCCACGGTTAGAGACAGGGGCAAGTGGTCTCTAGCCACTTGGTGGCGTCAGCGCTGGTGCTCGGGCAGGGTGGCTACAGTCTGCACTCAAAGCCACTTTATCATGAGCTCACAGGTCCTCCCCCCAGAAAACAGTGCTGGGATGAGAGGGAGAGCCGTACAGAGCCAGGCTGGGCCTGAGAACACGTTGTCGTCTCTCCTGAGACCTTGTGGACAGTGGGATGAAGGCTCCTGCTCCCTCCTCTACAACCTTCTACTCACCTTCTCAAACTGATGGACTCGAAAGATGCCACGGGTGTCGCGGCCATGGGAGCCCACTTCCTGGCGAAAGCAGGTGGACAGGCCAGCATACTTGATGGGCAGGTCTTCTGGCCGCAGCCATTCATCCCGGTGCAGAGCGGCAATGGGCTGCTCTGAGGTAGCAATCAGGTACTTCTCATCATAGGAGTTGTCATCAGACTTTTCACTGCCTTTGCCAATCACCTGTAGGAGAGGCCTATGCTAGGCAAGACTGAGGGAGGACACAGCCTGCTCAACAAACTGCAGGAAGGACGTGAAGGGCGGGGAAGGAACAGTTATGTCTGCTATGGGGTCTCTGCTATGACAGAGATCAAAGACATACAAATTATGGAGATCCATTTTACAGCGTATAATCCCAGAACTCTGGGAGGCTAAAACAGAAGGGTCACAAGTTCAAGTCTTGCCTGGGAAACTCAGCTACGTAGCTAAGTCTCAAAAAACTAAGTGCTGGGGGGCCTGGCCCTAGCTCAGGCCTTTAAGTGGCTGCTTCCACAAAGCTGTCAGCCTCAGGTTGCTGGAGTTCGAACCTCACAACTCGCCCGCTGGCCAAAAGTGCCCTGAAGGCGTTCGAGGAACAAAAAAAAAAAAACAAAACAAAAAAAACTAAGTGCTGGCCAAATAGTTTAGCAGATTAAAGCATAGGGGAAGGGGGTTCGATCCCCAGGCCTGCTGTGCTGGTCCTGCCCCTGGGGCATGCTGAGACAGCAGTTGAGACTGGGCGTGGTAGTGCACCTATAATCCCAGCTCTCAGGAGGCTGTAAACAGGAGAATTACTAGAGTCTGATCTAGAAGTAAGACCCTGAACACCCTATAGACCCTTCCCTAAAATGCAAAAAAAAAAAAAAAAAAAAAAGGGCAACAAAAAGGCTAAAGGGCTGAAGAGACAGCTCAGCATACAGGCCCTGGGTTACCTCCTAGTACTTAGGGATAGATACACAGATTGATCCATCTATATATATTACATATAGTCTATATATACATATGTCTACAGATTATACAAACATACACACACACAATAAATGATTCATGCTGACAGATGGGCAAGAAGCCTAGGTTGATTTATAAGGCATTTACTAAGTGGCAAGTCTTTTTGGCATGCTGGGCAAAAGTCTCTGCTTTCTTGGCACTTAGTCTAGCGGTACTAATCCTTAAAGATTTAATCATGGTACTGGGCATGGTAGTATATGTCTGTAACCCAGCACTTGAGAGGATGATGTAGGACTGCAAGTTCAAGGCCAGCCTAAACAACTTGGTAAGGTTCTGACTAAAGTAAACACTTTTAAAGAGGCTGAGGTATATAGCTAAGTGATAAAATACATATAAGTTCAATCTCCAGTACCACAAAATATAAATAAATGAACAAACAAACAGATAATATATGTGTTCAGCTGAAGAAAGTAATGGACATAAAAGGCACAGCATGGGGTGGGGGGATGAGAGAGCTCACTGTGAGGTGCTCGCCCTCAGGGGAGGAGCCCTGGGTTCAATGTTTAGAATGGGGGTTGAGGTGGGGCGGAGTCTAGGTGGGATGAAGTTGGCTGTATTTCAACAGAGGGACGGCTGCCAATCCACAGCTATACTGATTTTACGTAACATTAGGCAGCCAACTATAAACCAGATGACCCTAACTGCACTTGCTAATAAGAACAGAACTTTCACTTCCGAAGGAGTAAGTTATAAAGAAAAGGGACAAGTGAGAGGCAGATTTGCCATAATGGACAGCTCATAGCAATTTTTTTTAGGTTACTTTTCTTTTTTTAAAAAAATTTTATTTAGCAGAACATTCGAGAAAAAATTTTCATTTGCATTACTAGGAAATGAACCCAGGGTCTTTGCACTGAGCTACATCTCCAGTCCTTTCTTCCTTCTTTTGAGTCAGGGTCTCATTGAACTGCTGAGTTGTTCAGGCTGGGCTTGAACTTGAAGTCTTCCTGTCTCAGCCTCCCAAAGTGCTGGGATTATAGCCATGTGCCACCAAGCTCAGCTCTGGCAATTCTGAGTGCTGGACAGACTACAGTGCCATGGTAAGCTGATTAGTATGACAGCCTGCCTAATCTCAATGTGAGGACTCTGGTTCCTTAAGATGGTCATAGTTGGTGAGGAGCCACAAGCTGGAAGTCACGCCATCCCACGTGAGGACATCTTGCCCTGTGGAAGCTTCCAGTCTCCAGTCAGCAGGGGGAGGACACGCAAGGGGGCTCCGAGGCTGGTGTCACACTGAGCACTGCCTTTTGTCCAAGCACCCAACAGACACCTGGCGACAAGGTGTGCGCAGTTATATGTACCATACAGGGAGATGAAAATGCCCCGCAACCGCGTCTAACAGGCGGCACCAGTTGTATGTGGCTGTGTACACGACAAATCTGCTCCTCAGCCATACTGGGCTGACTTAAATACTCGCTAGCTACAGCTATAGAACACTTCCACTATGGCAGAAAGCTGTTGGCTACACTGCTCTGTGTCTCTGAAGTGAAGCTTCCCAATTTCTCTATTTTTTTTGGTTGAATTATTTTTCAGGGTAGGTTTGTTTTTGGTGCTGGGCACCAAACCCAGGGCTTCCAGCTTGCTAGGCAAGCGTTCTACCGCTGAGCCAAATCCCCAGTCCTTGGTCTTATTTATTTATTTTTGGCGGAACCGGGGATTGAACTCAGGCTCTTGCGCTTGCCAGGGAAGCGCTATTCCACTGAGCCATCTCCCCGGCCCTCCAAATCCCCAGTCCTTGAAGCTTCCCAATTAAGACATTGGTCCACCACTCCGCCCAGACTACTCACCTTATAAAGTTCTTCATCAAACTGGCTGAGCTGAGCCACTTCCTGCATGACCTCCTTCCGCATGAAGAAGGGGGTGTAAATGGGAACATAGTTTCGACTTGCCAGGGTGCGAAGGGCAAACTGGATGAGCGCTTGTTCCAGGAACACCAGAACCCCCTGAAGGACAGAGGACAGCACTGTCGGCCCTGTCATCGTCCCACTCATCTGCTAAAACTCACACCAGGGGCACCTGGGCACTTCTGTGAGGGACACACTGCATGCCTCGAAGAACCAAACTGCCAGGAACTTCGTTCTTAACAGTACAAAGCCCTGAAGTGTGTCACCAGGCACCTTGGCCAGAGAATTATCTTTTTGTGTTTGCTAAATTCTGACCAGGGTCTCACTTATGCAGTTCATGCTGGCCTTGGACTCACTACATAGCCTGGGCTGGCCTCGAAACGGCGGCTATCCTGCATCAGACTCCCGAGTGTTGGGATCACAGGCAAATCAGAGAATTACCTTGAAGAAACCGCAGTAAGGGAAATGAATTCACCCAGAACTCACAGACGAGTTGCCCTAAGCTAATTCCTAGGTGGAGATGCTTAAGAGCACACTATTTCTAAAATCATTCCTTGCACCTCTAGATGCCAGCATGGGCGTGTGGCCTCCATCTGCCTCTTCTCTAAGTACCCCGAGCTGCTCAAACCACAGGATTGTTGCACTGGGTTGCGACTCTGTTGTTTGTCTGACTTTCCCTCAAAGGCAGAGACTGTTCAGATTCAGACAGCAAAACACACTCATAGCAGAGGATCACTGAGTGGCTTTTGTTCCTCGGAATCCAGATAAGCACTCTCTCCCATACTGAGACAATTGTGTCTAATTGCTACGTATTTACAGACAAGCTGCCAGTACAAGTGGTGGATTTCTGGGCCTTTTAAATATGATTATGATTTTCTCCAACTGTTTCTCAGTTCCTTCTTCACTCCACAGGGCCCCAGCTCTTACCTTCAGGAAGTACCCGCGACTCCCAGCCACTATGGCCCCCTTTTCGCCTTCAAAGCCATCGACCATCACTACCAGGTCCACGTGAGAGTACTTCTTCCTGACTGTGCAGTCACCCCAAATCCTTTCTACTTTGTTGTCTGCATCCTAAAGAAATAAGACCACCAGATACATGATCTCCTAATTCTATAACCTCCTCTTTTCCAAACTCCACCCAAGAACAACTCAGCCACTGCTTAAATCAATGCTACATTTTGGTTACTGCATACAGTAACTAGTGAAGGGAATTTGCTAGTCAACTGAGAAACAGTCTAGAAGCCATTCTAGCCATGGAAGTGGGAATCAGGATTTTCTGGGAGATCCATGTTAGTCAACCCGGCTTTGTTTTGTTTTGTTACCCTTTTAAATGACTCCTTAAAAATCCTGCACTGGGACAACTGGCCCAGACAATCGGTATTGCCCGGGGTACAGGGGAGAATGTAGATTATTTTTCAAGGCCCTTATTGGTCTCAGGGCCACACGAAGTGGGCTCGGGCCCTGACCTCCTAGTCAGCTCCGGCTCCCTGGCCTCCCGCACACCCCAGCCTGTAGTGAGTTTAACATTCACCAGGGAATGAATGAAAGAGGCACAGATGGGCCCTGCCTCGCCCGGGTGTCGGGGAACAAAAGACTGGGCTCCAAGCAGCTTTGTGTTGGGGAAGCGCCCGCCTTGCAGGGAACTTTTATCATGCAGATTTCCCTTCAACCTGCAGCTTCCCAACTGGGTGTGGGTGAGGGGTTAGGATGATTTAGCAGATCCCTCCCACAGGACTCGCTGCTACCAGGGGCAACAGGCTGTGGAGGACAGCAGCCCCATTTACAAGATTTCTGTGCCAGCAGTCTCCTCCTACCTGCTGTCTCTGCTACTTCCCAATCAGGCAAGGATCTGACTCCCAGACTGCTCAATTGGTGGCAGAGGAAGTACAAAGAGCGGCCCGATACACAGTACCAGTGTCACACAGCCTGCCACCCCAGACAGCCAAGGAAGGGTCCTCCTGCGAGGCACTGCGCCTACCTCGTCATTACTGATGGGCACAGAGGGGTGCAGCAGGTTCCCAATCTCTCGAAGATTCTCAAACCGCTCTGCCTCCAGCTTTAACCGCTCTGCGTCACACTTCAGGATGGCTTCATCAATGAGGAGTCGGACTTTTTTAATTTGTGAGACTTTCAGGTTCTACAAAGGCACAGGCTGCTCTCAGACCCAGGACGTGCAAGTCAAGGGCAGTGCAGGGATAAATTACTGGTACCCTAACTCCGCAGTCCTCCAGTGACAACTGTTCTCACAGCAGAAGCCTTTTCTTTTCTTTTTCTTTTTTTTTTTGGCGGAACCAGAGATTGAACTCAGACCCTTGCGCTTGCCTCTACTCAGTCATCTCCCTGGCCCCCTCATTTTTTAATATTTGGTACTGGGAATCGAACTCATGACCTTGCGCTTGCCAGCTGCGTGCTGTACACTGAGCTGTATCTCTGGCCTGTAAAAACTATGCTAACAGTATATATTTCTGTAAGAGAACATTACCTAATCTGTACCCTGGATTTTCCTGACTGAACCAATCTAACTTTCATTCCGCACACGTTTGTGTTCTCTGGGAAGGTAACTCATTAGGTGCCAGACACCCTGTCTCGAGCTCATTCTGTGTACCTCACTGCAGACGCTCCCAGCATGCTCTGATTTCTTGGAGGAACCTTAGCAGGCCGGGCTAGACAGGAGCAGGGCCCCAAAGCAGGACTCTGAGAATAGCGACTTTGTTTAAATTCTTAGCTTTAAGAAAGGTTTAGTGATGAAAACACTTGAAAATTCCTACTCTAAGCACACTACAGTGAATATTTACTGAATCTCCATGAATTCAGAAATGTTTCTACTTTGTGAATAGAGTGGAAAATGGAGTTACCAGAGCCAAACATGGTTCAGCTCTTCTTCCCTTTCTTCCTACCCTTGGTCTTCCCACTCCGTCTGTTCGTGTGCTTCTAATCAGTACTCAAGACAGAGCGCTGCCACAGTGCTAGGGACTGCGCGGGCTGCGCAGTGCTGTGTGGAGCAGGGTACACTGCGGCCCAGGATTAAAGACAAGAGGGCAGTGATGCCAACCTAGACAGAGACGGTGACTTACCGCTAAAGCGTCCGCAGTGAGGGCGTCGAAATCTAACACGTCCTCGGGAACAGACTCGTCATCTCCCACTGGCTCTTTTTTCTGCAGGAAGGAAAAACCTGAACTTGATTAAATGAAAAAAGCCCCTCTGGCAGAGCTTTAATAAGCCCACACCAAATCAACACATAAACTAAACACCAGAGGTCACACAGCCAAGGGTAATGCGACAGGAGAAAACTGAGTGCACTGCGGGCCTGGAGGCCACGTTTCAAGTCCTTCTTCTGCGAGCTCCTAGCTTTGTGCCCAGACAAGTCCATTAATCTGCAGGACTGAGGGAGCTGACATCAAGACCAAGAAAAGTACGGCTTTCCCTGGTCATGGAAAAACCATGGAGCTCACAGGAGGATGTGCTGGAAATGCTCCGGGGCCACAGCGGCAAGAGGGCCGCGAGCAGCGCTGAGGGGGCATCCTTGTGCTTGCTCCCTAGGAACAAACCCAGCACTCGGGCTCTGAGGGCAAATGAACAGACTGACGGGAGTACGAAAGCCACGGCAACAGGTGAATGAAAACCAGATCCACAGCTGAGCAGTCGATGCCGTGTGCATGGCCGGGGCCCAGCCTTCCCCCTATGCTTTACCAGCCTTCCTGATTCCAGTGCCCAGGTTGGCCCTGAATTCGCAATCCTGCTTCAGCCTCCATAGTGCTGCAGTATACTGGGGTCACAGGTGGGTACCCCACGCGCGGGTGTAATGGTTATAGAGACAGGTGGCGCGTATGGTAGCAGCGGGTGCTACCTGAAGTCTCTGAGGCAGCAGATCCAAGTTCTGAGTTTAAGGTCTGGCTGTGCGACTGACTCAGTTGCTGATTGTAGGGACTTTCCTTAATGACCTACAGTGGTCTAAAGCACCTGTTTGGGCAAACTTGGGCAACCCTGCAGGGACCTCGGTTAGATCCCCAGCACCACATGCTGTGCCAGCCCCGCCCCCAGGTGGGCTGAGCCAGCCACACACACACACAAAAGATACTTAATATCCTAAATCTATTCTCCCACTTTTTAAATAAGACTGATAAAAAAATAAATGTAACACCTACACTCCAGGCCGGCAGCAAAGATCAAATCCAAAATGAAGAAGTACTGGGCTGGTGAGATGGCTCAGTGGTCTAAAGAACCTACTTGGAACAAGCTTAGCAAACCACAGGGACCGCAGTTCAATCCCCCAGCACCACATGCCAGCCGGCCCCGCCCCCTGGTGGGCTGAGCTGGCCACACACACACACACACACACACACACACATAATAAATAAATAAATGTAAAAAAAAAATGAAAAAAAAAAAATGAAGAAGTACTTATGAACACTTACCAGTGCTATGCAAATTAAGGCGCTGCTACAACGAACAAGAGTAAAAAGGACCTAATGGCCAGCAGGAAAGTTGGGCCTAAGAGCCCTATCGCAAAGGAAAACACTTCTCCCAATTTATTGCTACAAAACACCTGCCAGCTGAGACTGACTGCACGCAGGCCCCAGAGAGTATCTGGGCAGGGGTACACGTGGGAATCAGCAAGCTACAGGGTCTCTGACCTGCAAATGATTGAGCACCATGAGGAAGACAACCACACACAGCTCAAAACCCACAGAACCACCCTGCAATGTGAAACTAGGGGGCAGCGTGAGGCAAGACGGTGGGCGGGTCGGACAATGAGCAAAGAACGCTATGTGCATCTATAAATTTGCTAAAATAAAATTCATTCATTAAAAAGAATTGTAAAACAAAAATTGTCAAAGAGCTGGCACAATGGTGCATACCAATAATCCCAGTCATTTGAGAGGCTAAGGCAGGAGGGTCACAAGTTTGATCACAGATTGGGCAATCTGGTAAGATTCTGTCTCCGAATAAAAAAATTAGCAGTTGGGCACACACCTGTAGTCCCAGCATTGGGCAGCTGAAGCACGAGAAGAGCCATGAGTTTGAGGCCAGCCCTCGCCACTCAGTGAGTTAAAGCCGGCCTCAACTACATAGCAAGACCATGTGGCAAAATAGATAAATAAAAAGACAAAAAATTAGAAAGGACTGGGAGTTGTGTGTGGTACCAGTAATGCCAACACTAGGGGGTGGAGCCTTCACAGTGAGCTCGAGGCAAACCTGATACCCCGCAAGACTCAAAAAAAGGGGCTGAAGGTAAAGTTCAGGGCAAAGGCCCTGTGTTCAGTCCTCAAACTGTAAGAACAAAAACCTGTCCAAGAGAAGGGTGTAGACTATCATGAAAACAAAGTGCTTGAAGCCCCGGTTATCTTTCTGTCATACTTTTTTATTGATTCTAGTTTCCAAATTTCACAATTTTTGGCATCAGTTTCCAGACTCATCTGAAGGGGCCGAGGTGGCAGAGCGCATTCCCGTGTTTTTTGCTTTCTCTTTCTTGCTTGCAGCGCTGACCTGCGCACTGGGCTAGGGCTACAGCCCAGTCTTTTTCAGCTTTTCACTGTGAGACAGGGCCCCTCCAAGGTGCCTAGGTTGGGCCCTGCTAGTGACCCTCTTGCCTCAGCATCCCTGAGCGCTGCAATTACAGCCTAGGCCACCGCACACATCTTTAATGTGCTTTTTGGACTAGTGCCTAAGGGCCAAGAGGTATTTTTTGAAGAAAGATTAAAACCAACAACTACTTTGGATACCAAAGCAAAAGCTGAGCTGAAATTTAATATTTTTTAAACATCAGGAAGTTTGGATCCTTTTTTGCCAGCCACTGAACAGCACAAGGGTTGAGCAACCATAATGTTCTGAGCACTGTGCCAAGTTGACATTTAAAAGAAATTTACTTTTTTAACAATCTCATTCTACAGGTTAATGCGCAGCCATTTTGCAAGTGAGGAAACTGAGGTTAACTTGTTTAAAAGTCACACAGCTGGCCTGGGGAGACAGCTCAGCAGTCTAATCACCCGCCTGGCAAGCCCATGGTCCCGGGTTTGATCCCCAAGTAGGCAGTATGCTAGGTGGGGACTGGAGCCCCAGGAGTGCTGTGGGGGTCACTGAAGCTGGGTTTGGTTGCGCACTCCTGTAATCCCAGCACTGGGGAGGCAGAGATAGGAGGATCACTACAAGTCCAAGAGTCTGAGCTGTGTAGACTCTGTATCAACAATAAATTCATAATAAATAAATAGATAAATGTCATGCAGCTAACAGGAGGCCAAGGCAAGACACAAGCTACAGGGCTGGAGAGATAGCTCAGCGGTCTAAGCACCTGCCTGGCAAGCACAAACACCAGAATTCTATTTCCGGTACCATATGCTGTGCCAGCCACCAAAACCAGGCATGGTGGTGCAGACCTATAATCCTAGCGCTGGGGAGACTGAGACAGGAGGATCATATGAGTCTGAGCTGCACAGATTATGAATCTGCTTTTTTTTTAGAAGAAACAGGACAATAATGGGGCAAAAATTATGAAGTCTGTCAAAAAAAAAATCCCTTCCTGGTAGCATAGGTTGAACTCAAGAAAAAAATGAAAAGGATGACTTGGTGGAATTAAAATTCCTATTAGTAAGAACAAAAGAGCAAGTGAGGGCTGGTGAGATGGCTCAGTGGTCTAAAGCACCTACTTAGAACAAGTTTAGCTAAGCACAAGGACGGCGGTTCAATCCCCCAGCACCACATGCCAGCCAGCCCCGCCCCCTGGTGGGCTGAGCTGCCCCCCAATACAAAAAAAAAAAAAAAAAAAAGAGCAAGTGAATGCCAGCGTAGCAGGAATCTTATTAAAACAGAAGATGGGGCTAGGGAGATGGCTCAATGGAGTAAGTGCTTCCCTGGCAAGCGTAAGGGCCTGAGTTCAATCTCTGCTTCTGCGAAAAAAGAAAAAGAAACAGAAGACACTTTCCAGTTACCTGCCTCCCTTGCTTTTTAAAATAATTTCTCCCCCTAACAAGAAACCGAGCATCACACAGGTTAGATGTTGAGTTACGACCTCAGTGAATATTGGCCAAGAACCAGACCAAGAACCTCTGGTCTATGGGGCCGGCGAGATAGCTCAATGGACTAAAGCACCTGCTTAAGCAAAGCACAGGGACCACGGTTCAATACCTGGCACCACATGCCAGTCAGCCCCGCCCCGAGGATGGCTGAGTCAGCCAGAGTCTGGACCTGCTGGTGCAGGACTGTAATCCCAGCGCTGGGGAGGCTGAAAGCAGGAGGATTACCACGAGTCCAAGTTGCATGGTGAAATCCTGTAACAACCAAATACATAAAAAGAACCTCTGCTCTAGCTCCCAGCCTGTTACTCAGTTCTCTTACCTTCATCTTCTCTCCAATTGTCTTGCTGCATAAGTTTTTCAGCTTGTTCAAGTTATCTGCCCGAAATCTGCCTAAAAATAGAGAAGCAAAGAATGTATTGAAGAAACACACTCAAGATATTCCTTGATCATGGCTCCTTGGTACTTGCTATGATTTGGATAATTGTCCCTAAAGCCCTCACATGTTAAAAGACTTTTGGTCCTTGTCCTAGCACTCCAGATGGCTGGAGTTACCTTTTAGGGATGGGGGCTGAGGCAGGATTCTGCGATTCTGAGGCCAGCCTGGACTATAAAGTGAGCTTAAGGCCAGCCTGAACTGCATAAAGAAACTCTGTCTCAAAAAGACACAAAAGGGGAGGGGCAGGGGCAGGGCCAGGGATATAGCTCAGCAGCAAAAGCACCTGCCCAGCAAGTACAAGGTCCCAAGTTCGATCCCTGGTACTGGGGGTGGGGTGGGGGGGCCCACTAAGAAGCCCCAGGTTACTGAGCATGTCATCCAGGAGAGCAGTGGAAATCCTTCCCCTCCCCATCTCCCCATCTTCTTCTTCTTTTTTTTTTTCAAATTTTTATTTATGTGTGTGTGTGTGTGTGGCCAGCTCAGCCCACCAGGGGGCGGGGCTGGCTGGCATGTGGTGCTGGGGGATCGAACTGCAGTCCCTGTGCTTTGCCAAGCTTGTTCCAAGTAGGTGCTTTAGACCACTGAGCCATCTCGCCAGCCCCGTCCCCATCTTCTATTTTTGTTTCCTGGCCACCAGCAGGCTAGCAGCTTTCTCTACCACACTCTCACCATCATTTACTTGCTTACCACAGGCCCAAATGCAGTAGAGCAAATCCCCCATGGACTGAAGTTTCCAAAAATGTGTGAGCCCAGATAGATCTTTCCTCTTTGTGAGCTCATTAGACATTTTGCTAAGAGCTATGGAAGGCTGATCAGCACAGTATGGCTCTCAACCCGAAGTCCAAATTCAGGCAGAGCTGAAGGAGCTTCCCCATAAAATTGTAAAATCTCAGAGTTTTAGAACTCTAAGCATAGACTGATGACAACAACAGGCTGTCCCCAGCATTTGAAGAAAAGGAAAAACGAATTCTGAGATTGAAATTTTAAAAATCTTAACATAAGCGCCTATTTAGGCAAGTGCCGGGACTGGGATTCAATCCCCAGTGCCACATGCAGCGCCAGCCCTACCCTGGGGCGCACTGAGCTGGCCACTGAGAGCGGGTATGGTGGTGCATGCCTGAAATCCCAGGGCCAGGGAGGCTGAAAACAGGAGGATCACTACGAGTCCAAGCTGCACAGTAGGACCCTGTACCAAATACATTTAAAAAAAAATCATAAGATATACCACTGTAAGATAATACAACTGAGAAATCTGGAAGATATATACACATAATTATAGTCTGCCCAATTATCTTAAGATCCATTTAAAGAGGGCTGGAGAGATGGCTTAGTGGTCTAAGGCACCTACTT